CCCCGCCAACCCATCAGGGCGGGTTTTTTTGCTCCATTCGGGGCGGGGCGGGTTGGATTTTTTTGTCATCACTAAATTTACAATACACATTGCTAGCAACCCTGTATTTCATGAACGTACAAGACATATAGAGATCGATTGTCATTTGGTAAGAGATAAAGTACAAGCTGGTGAAGTGAAAATGTTGTATATGGCATCACATGATCAAGTGGCTGACCTGTTAACCAAACCTTTGGTAAGAAAACGATTCAAGTTGTTGTTAGGCAAGAAAGGAGTACTCAATAGCCATCCTCCATCTTGAGGGGTTGTATTGAATAAGATAGCATAGGGATATTTAAGTCTTTTTGCACTTCTTTTCTGTTAAGTCTGTTAGATACATTTGAGCATAAATAGTGGACTCATATTTCAGTTTGGATTGATTTTGGTAATGAGAAAATTTTCCCGCCAGTTTTGTTCCTCTCTCTAGAACCTTCATTGCTAATTTGGCAAATTTACCCTTGTTTGAGCCTTATTATTTGGAAATCATTTCAACCATACATTCTTCAATATAATAATATTACAAGCAAATCCAATTTTTTTCTTATTTTTAACAACACATTTCTCATCAATATAGTATTTAAAAATGTATTCCCCCTAAAATGGGGCTCAAACAAGGGCTTAATTCACAATTTGCTGAAACTTCAAGAATATAGCAACTTGAAGATTCTAATATAAGACCCTTGAAATCATTTACATCACAAGACACATTTTCAATATGAAAAGTTCAGTCTAAAATCCTAAAGTCCAATCTTTCTTATGCTAAAAATCAACAAATTCCAATTATATTCCAATATTTTAAGACAAAAGATAAAGTCATCTCATTTGGAAAATAAAATTGAATCAAAATCTTGACACAAAAAGTTAATAAATGAAAGAAAAAAGAGAAAATGAAGAATTACTCACATCAATACCAAGAATTACAGCACCCTCAGCAAGGAACAGAGTCATATGGCTAGTGAGATTAAAGGGAGCCGTGAGCCAATACCCAGGTGGCACATTGAGCTGCCCACCACCCTTTTTCCGCAGCTTCGAAATCGCCAACATGGCACTCTCGAACGCGGCTGTGTTGAGAGTGATTCCGTCCCCCACTCCACCAAAGTCCTTCAAGTTAAATGCCACGGGCCGGAGCTTGGGAAGGATGAGCATCCGAGATGGAAAATCCCGCCGGAAAAGCAATAGGCCGCCAGCGGTGGCGGCATCCCGCTGCCAGTAAAACACAGTAAACAAAAAGGCCAGCCAGAGAGCAAGCAGAAGGGGTTTGTGGAGTGAAAAAAATGTGGTATTAGTAGGGATCCAACGGCACCACCAAGATGATGGACTTGATGTGGGTGTCAAGGTTTCTACCATTTCTTAACTCAGGTTGCGGATCGGAATGCAGTGTGA